AAGGCAATATCGATATTGGCAGGTATATAAATATTTCATTTCAACAACAGATTTTTATTTCTTTCCAAGATATGGCTCAAAACGCACCTAAAGATAAGAATTACCCAATATGAATCATTCTGACACATCCAACATGAAGTATTCTAACACATCCAACATGAATTATTCTGACATATCCAATGAGAATTACTCTGACGTATCCAATATAAATTTTAATGAAGAATATAAGGTGAGCATTTTTGTTCACTGAGTTCGTTTATTAAGTGATGATAATAGTTTAGCATGGTAGGAATGCGAGACATGCTGCAGTTGAGTAAGTCCTGCATGCACATTCTTACAGGAAGTCGCCTGTGAAGGTTTCTATCTTTTGAATTCCTATTCAGGAAGGTGTGATAACTTCATCACTCACTTTGTTTAGCATAATAGAAATGTGAGACACGCTGTGGTTGAGTGAGTCCTGCATGCACATTCTTACAGGAAGTCGCTCGTGAAGGTTTTTATCTTCTGGATTCCTATCCAGGAAGGTGCGATGATAACATTGTTACTTATTTTTTTTTTTTCTTTACAGAGTAGCACCTCGGAGGATTTTGAAATAGTGGACATGCTAAATAAAAACGGCATCAAGTGTAGAGCATACTATACTGACAATTGTATTGTGCTTGTTGGAAAATATGAGGATATGAACTTTATTATCCACTATGTGAAAAGAGATTGGAACTCAATTGGAAAGAACGAAATAATCCTTCTAATTAATAATTTGGAACATCAACAATCCGAATTCGTTGGTTTTTTTGTAACAAATTATGAATATCATCTCTCTGCAATCAATCAAGCGGCAACAAATTCGAAAGTATTTTTATATTACGAAACAACTATCGTTGACAAGATTAAAGACGCAGCTCGTGCCGAAAAAATCAAAAACTCTAACTGAAGTGATGTTATAATTAAAAGGGTCAAGATTGATAAAGAAAAGAACGTCTCAATCGATAAAATTTTGATGAGAAATAGTGACTTCAAGCCGTTTTAAGGCTGTGATTATTTTTTTACGTGGCTATGAATAACATTAGGAGTTAAACAAATATCAGTGTGAAAATTCAT